AAACACTCACCTGTTATAGCTAATACATCACCCGAGAAAGTTGGAGAATTCATCCCGGTGGGGCTGTCAAGCGCTCTAGCCGCTGTTGTTGTAATGGTTGCAGTATTTGGTGGCGACGGCAACAAACGATATTGCGGTGGAGGCATCACAAAGTAGTGGCCCAACAAGTCGGGTGGTGGCGGCGGTGGAGGAGGTGGTGGCGGTGCCGCACGCGCATTAAATTTCGTCGGCGGCGAGAGTGGGGTGTCCGGTGTGAAATCGCTCGACATTGGTGTTAGCGGTGTGGATAGTGTGAGTTTGCTAGGGGTAGATGATGGAGTTATGGGACTCGCATGACTCAAGGGGATGGGTGTACTGGGGGGCACTTCATAGAGGCCAGTGTCCATTGCCAGTGGCTCTTGACTTGGCAGTGTAGGTGCAGGGCTGGTCAATGGACTCATATTATGTCGCAGATTGTATTCGTATGTGTTGGGTGGCGTCTTCGGCGTCGATTGGGTAAAGTCAAAGCCATTCAGCGTCTTTTTGGGACTCAGCACGGCCGCCAGGGCATTGTGAGCCGTCTGAATGGTAGGACTTTGTATTGAATTCTGATGTTGCAGCTGAGGTGCGACTATCGGCTGTTGTTGTTGCTGCTGATACAGTTGTTGTTGATTTTGGTTCTTTGGTGTACTCAGCTGATTGTAGTAGCTGTTCAGTCGATTCGCGTCATTTTCGAATTTCTTATAAGCGTGGCTGTTGTTGTTGTTGTGATTGTTATCCAACTGTTCGCCGCCGCCGCGTTGAATATTCTTCATTATACCGTTAATCACAGTGGCATTACGTTCCATTAATAAATTCTTTTTGGTCAAAAACTCCGGTGCACTTTGCAACTTAATGTTGGCGTTGTTGTTATTGTTCACTGGGTTGGTGTTCGTGATGTTGTTGTTGATGATGGAGATGGTGTTGCTGCCCAACAAATGTCGCGTGGGACTCAACAAGCTGTTGCTGTTATTTGTATTGTTGTTGTTGATGTTGATCAAATTGCTGTTGTTGTTGCTGTTGTTGTTGGTTGTTGTACTGCCAGTGATGTTTGTGGGGGTGTTGCAGGTGGTTGTGGCATTGATGGGATTCATGTTGTTAGTGGCATTGGCTGTGATCTGGCTGCTAGCCGTGTTTGAGGTATGATTGCCATGAATGATGTTGTTGCTGCTGTTTTTGTTTTGATTTAAGCCAATTGTAGTGTCACCGGTTAAATTTAATGACTCTGGTGGACTGTCGCCCATTTTGGCGGTGACGGGAATGGCGGTGACGATTTGTCCTGCACATTGGCACAATGAATGGGGAGGAGTGGCAATGACAAAGAAATGAGAATGATTGATGCAAGCGCATGTGTGATGATTGCATTTT